AGCAGGCTTGGGGGACATTGCTGAGATGTGAGAATTTGGGGGGCAAAGGCTGGGAGAAAGATTGGGGGTAGTAGAAAGGGGTGTTATTGTGGATATCTGATGGGCAAGACCGTCCCTGGGTTAGAGGTGACAGCAGGGAGCTGGGGGACGATTGGGGCCTGGCAGATAGCCAGTGATGGACATAAATTTTGGGAATGGGACAGCTGGCAGTGGGGGGGAAAGTGGTGCTGGGAGAACAACGGAGAGTGGGGGACAGCTGGGGGATAAGAGATAACAACTTAACCGAGATGGGAAGAATGTTGCTCAGAATGTGCCCTTGTGTGTATCCTTGAGATTTTGTGTGTTTGTGGATCCTTGTGGTTGTGTGTGTATCCCTGTGGTTGTATATGTGTGTAAGTGTGCTTGTTCCTAGAGTGTGCTGGTTAAGAGCATGGGCTCATGGGCCACACCACGTGCGTTCTAATCCTGGTTCCACCACTCCTAGCTATGTGACACTTGGTCAAGTACTGACCTGTCTCAGTCTTATGGAGTTTGCATTTGGGAAGTGAAGATGATAACAGAACACAATTCATGAGGCTGTTGTGAGGATGTTTTATGCTTATGTCTGGAGCAGGTCTTGGCACATTATAAGCATCATGTTAAGTGTTGCTACTATGAAGTGTTTGTATAGCCCTCCTGTGTGCTCAGAAAAGTTTGTTCTTGGCTTCTGATGAAGTCCAGGCCTGGGAGGAGATGACAGTGGTAGGGAGGTAGTGGAGGGAATGACTAACCAGGTTGGTTGGGTCTGGCTCTCTTACATTCTCCCTCCTGGTCATCTCACTTCCTGTGCCAGGATCTAATCCACTAGGTCTCCTTCTCTGTCTCCCTGCCCTGCCCCACACTGCCCTGTGCTGGGCTAGGAGCCAGGGGATGAGCTTTAATAGTCGAAAAGATTTTTAGCAGAGCCCACATTCACTGTTTGGCTGCCAACATGCTGGGGCTCTGCTCAGATATAAATACCTGGACGATGTGCTCAGCTCTGGACCCCCTGTGCTATGGGTGACAGTGTCTTCGTCCTCTGCCCTTGGAGAGTCACTATGGTGGAAGAGGTTGGAGGGTGGGGTCAAGATGGGAAGAAGCCCATAGGGCAGATGAGGCCTGGGCTCCCGACCTATGGGGTAAGCCAGCAGCGCCAAAGGCACAGGGTTTTCCAGGATTCTGAGTTCCTTTCCCTGCCAATGTGTCCCAGGGAGACATCTGCAGCCCTCTCCGAAGCACTTTGCAATGTACCACGTCATTGCTTACTTAACACTATGAAGCTGCACTGCATCACAGCTCTGGCCTGCTCAGGGTATGTGGGACCCGGTGTTCTCAGACCCAGCATCTTGCAGTGCATTGCAGCTCAGCCCTGCACTGCCTGCCTGCAGTGGCTTCTACATTGCACCAGGTGTGGGGGCCTCTGCAGAGTTCCTGTATGTTCCACCTTCAATGGTCCCATTTTGCTGGGCCTCCTTGCAGCTGTCCTGCTATTTGTCTCTACAGCTCTCTTCTATGGTGTCGAACTCTACTGGAAGTCAGGGTTGCATTTGGGGATGGATTCTCCTGGCTGTCTACACAGAGGGTCCTTACCCCCATTACACCTGAGACGCACATGTGGCTCTACAATGCAATGTTTGCATTGTAGGCCATTTCTGTTCCACACTGCAGTGCCCTGCTGGGCAGTCCACATTGCATTGCACATGTGGACTTCCCTGGGCTTTGGGCATAGCACCTTGCATTGCAGAACTGCACTCCAATAGATGGCATGCTACCACAACCCTGCCTCTGCATCTCTGTTTTCCAGCATTTCTGCAGTGGGCATTTGCACGGCCTAGGGCCTAGGGCAGGTTGTTCCTGTTTCTAGGGACAGCTCATCTGCATTCCACTGTCGCATCTTATAAGACCAGTGTACCTTTGCCTCATTCAGCACTTCTATTCCCTTGCTTCACTGCACTGCACTGGATGCATGCCTTCTGGCCTAGCCCTTACACTGCTCTGCAGCTGCTACAATGCTGCCTCCTGTGGTATCTCAGCCTTTTGCTGTTTGTATTACTGCCAGGTGTCAGCTGGTATCCTTCCCCAGGTTTCTGCTGGGAGCTCCAGGTAGGCAGTGTCTTTGTCCTCATTACAGTGCACCTCTGCCCTACCTTGCACTTGGCTCAGGAAGTCTGTACCTGCATTGCAGCTTAGGGCCACTTTGTTGGGCTTCAGGACTGGGTTGAGTTTTTGCGGGCAGCACCACTGCACAGTATCCAGTGTTGCAACAGTGCACTGCATGGGCAGAGTGGCTCGGCTTTGCATTCTATCTGCTTGCTGTAGGGATGGATGCACTTTACTGGATTTGCAGGCCCTGAGCTCTTGAACTGAATTCACTGTCCACACATCATCTTCACTTCACTTCATATTTTTTAAAATTAGTGGATATTTGTTATATAGGTTAATTGATTCCATTTTGGCTGTTTCATATATGCATGTAACATACTTTGATCGTTTCCACCCCATTACCTTTTTTCCCCTTCCCTCCCCTGTTCCCCTTGTTCCCTTCTTCTTTAATAATAGTCTCCCTTCTACATTCATTTTTATTCTCATTCTGTCTCTCTGCTTCCTCCCTCCCTCCCTCTGTCTCCCTCCCTCCCTCCTTCTCTCAGATCCTATATATGAAAGAAAATGTGCCATTGGTCTTTCTGTGTCTAGTTTATTTTACTTAACATAATGATTTCCATTTCCATCCATTTTCTTGCAAATGACATGATGTCATTCTTTTATGGCTATAAGATATTCTATTGCACTTTGTTTTTATGTTACTTTCTACCTATTCCTTGGGTCTGCACCAGCTGTGCTCCTCAGGACTGTACTGAGCTTCTCTGTCCAGAACTGGGTTGCTAACACCCAGCAGCTGGTTCTGTATGGCTCTGCGTCCTTCCCTTCCCTTCCCTTCCCTGTAACTCTGTACTGTTCTGCCTGCCTGTGCTGCATACACCTGGCACATGGAGCTCCTGCTCTGTGCAGGCCCTGTGCTAGTGACTGGAGAGGGAGAAGGACTGGTCGGGCTTACTCACACCCTGCGTTCCTCTGCATACCCATCATGCAGCACTGGTTTGCACCATGAATATGGCACTTCTGTGCTACATCAGGACCCTGACTGGTTCTTCCATGGCATTATAGGTGTTTGTACCAGGATCCATGCATATTGTGTGCTTTGCTCCCTCACATCATATAACTAGATTCTGTGTCTGTACAGTGGGAAGCTGCTGCACTACACTCTCAGCACACCATATCGCAGTAGTGTACAACCCTTACTCCATGGAACCTTTATAAAGTATAGATCTTCCCACTGCATGAGTTTGTGCATATACCATGCCCCTCTACCCAAACTGTGCCCCACAGGGGATCTGTGAACTCTCTGCCCACTGTACTTCCACACAGCAAGGCCCTCTACTGATCTCTTCGTTTCTGTATGGTATCTACCCCTGGCCTGTGCTTTCCTCTTATACTGCCAATACAGCAGCCTTGCTGCTGATGCCGGGATTTGAGGTGCACACTGGACCAGGATATGGAGAGTGGTCTGGTGTAAGTCCGCCTGCTGCAGTGGGCTTTGTTCCATCCTTGATAGAGATGGTAAGATGTTGGCATTGTCAGGCTCTATGTTGGCTCTTGTGGGTGGTGCAAGCTTAGCTTTCTCTGCCTGTGGCCTGGCCCTGGCTGATCTTCTTGTTTGCAGCCAAGCTAAACCCTGGGTGGTTAGAAGATGATCTTGTTGCTAGCCTTCCTGTAATTAGCTACTCATCAGTTAGTTGGGGCTCTGGTGGGCAGCTTTGGGAGCCCTGACCTCAGTCTGGATTGCTGACCTGGAGAAGGGAAGTGATGAGTGGGCTCCAGGCCTCTGGGCTAGTCATGGTCTTTGAGCTGGGTGCAGCTGGTGAAGGTCACACTACCTGTGATCATGGAGTCCATAAGTCTGGTGCTGTTGGTGATTTACTAAACATGGCTTGGGAATGGGTTTCCAAAGCATGAGAGACAATCCTGACTTCAGGAAGGGAGAAGCTGGGGGTTACACAGGGGAGTATTGGACTGGGCAAAAATGTCTGGTTGAGCTGCTTAGAATAGGGAAGGTGAAATAGGCCAGCATTGTCACTGGGATTTTATCTGGATTCCTCAGTCAGGATTGAGCCTGTGCATGGGGTTAGATGAGATCCCAGCTCTGGCTTTTGCAATCTGTTGGGGGAAGCTTTGTTTCTCTTGGGGCTGCACTTGGGAATTGGATGTTCTGTTGACCAACCAAAGGGAATGAAAACTCATTGCAAACAGGGTCAGCTTACCTAGAGACTTCAGAAAACACTGGTGGTGGCTGCAGGTGTAGTGAGCCTAGGACGCCATTCTGGAGTGAAGAAGAAGGTCTAGTGCACAAAGCTCGTGGTGCTCACATGTGTGCATACATGGACACACATGCAGCCTCGCCCATGCCTACCTCTGAATATGTTCAAACACTTCTGCTCAGAGGCGTAATCCACACACCCAGAATCTCACAGCACCTGCCCTGCCTCACACACCTCTCCCCAGCAGACCTCTCCCTGCCTCCAGTTATTCTTGTTTACTTGGCCTACTCATATAACATGATCGTGATGGAGGCAACCCCATTCTCAGAAATGGGTTCAGAGAGGGCAAGTCACCTGCCTGAGGTCACAAAGGGATTTAGGAGAGCAGCAGGAAAAAGATCTGGGTCTC